AACATTTATATCATGCTTAATATGTGCCAGGCATTGTGCTGAGCACGTTACAATTATTATCTCATTTGATTCTCATGGCCCTGAGAGGTAGGTGCTGTTATTATGCTTATTTTACAGATGAGGAAACTGAGGCAGGCAGCGTCTAAGCAGCTTGACCAGGGTCACATAGCTAGTAAGGCCAGATTTGAACTTAGGTCTTTTTGATTCCAGGCCCAGAGTTCAATCCTCTGTGCCACCAGCTTCTTCAACAATAATAATAATAATAATAATTATTATTATTATTAAGGGTTTTGTGATATAATAGGAATAATATTACATTTGGAGTCAAGGGACCTGGGTCTGAGGCCCACCTCTGACACTTTGCAGTCATCTCAACCTGAATGTCTGAGCCTCAGTATCCTTATCTGTAAAAAGGAGATAATAATGCTTGCACTACTTACCAACTACAGGGTTATTTTTAGGAAAGCATTTTGCAAATTAAGACCTTATTATAGAAATACGAATCAAAATGCTGTCCTGGAAAGAATATGGGATTTGGAGTCAGGAGACCTGACTCTTAACTCTAATATTTAATAGCGTGTGATAGTAGACATGCCATTTGACCACTCTGAGCCTAAGATTACCACCTGTAAGATGAAGATAATAATACTTGTCCTGAGAAGCAGCAGCCGTAGTGGACAGAGGACTGATCTTGGAATCAGGAACTCAACCCAGGTGGAGTCCCACTCCTGACACATCCTCACTGCGTGAGCACGGCCAGGCGGCCCAAGCCCAAAGACAATTGGCCAAGACTGTATGGCCAGACCAGTTATCAATGCTCATTGGCAGAGGGAGCTTCACCCTGGACCTTCAATAAATGTTATCATAAATGAATTTTATAATTTATTTAGACTTTAAATTTAATTTAAATTTTATAATAAATACGTACAATATCTATTTCAAAGGGATGTTGTAAAGAAAGTGCTTTGGAGACTCCCAAGTAACACAGAAATAAAAGTGAAATCTGATGAGGCCCTAAGTGGGAGAGCTGGGTATTGATCCCAGGGCCTCTCCCTCCCAATCTAACATGCTTTGCACAGCACTGCACTGCACTCCCTAGGGGCAATGGCTTGCCTCATCTTGGCACCTCCCTACTTTTCCAGACTTATCCCGTTTTACTCCTTTCCACACAGTCTATGCTCCTGCCAAACTGGATCACCCTTTGTTTTGAGCCCTTCCCTACCATCCTCCTCAGACACAAATGACCCACCATCTGCTTTGCACAGCAGCTCAGGCTGCTCCTTAGGCCTGCAATACCTTCCCTCCCCATATTTGCCTACTGAATACTTACTCATTCTTTAAAGCTCAAATCAAATGCCCCCTCCTCCAAGAAGCCTTCCTGGATTCCCTCCACGGGTAATGACCTCCATTTGGTCGCATCCCTTGGCTGTGTAAGTAGTATTGTACAAAACTGTGGGAAGCAGTTTGGCATAAAGGAGAGTATGCTAGGTTGGAGTGAGGAAGGCCTGAGCTTGAATCCTGCCTCTTACACCTACCAGCTATGACCACGGGCAAGTTAAAACTTCTCTGAGAACCTCTCCTCATCCATAAAATGGAGATAATAATACTTGTGGTACTGACCTCACAAGGTCACTGTGAGGATCAAATAAAATAACGTTCATAAACACAAATGTTAGCTGTTTATAAAATGCTTTAAGGATTACGAAGTATTTTATGTATATTATTTCACTTGAGCCCACCACAACCTGGGGGGGAGGGGTAGGTACACTATCATTATCATCCCCATTTAACAGATGGGAAAACTGAGGCTAAGAGAGTAAATAATAATAATAATAATGGCTAACGTTTATATAGCACTTCCTATGTTCCACGCACTGTGCTAAGTGCTTTATAATTATTATCTCATTTGATTCTCACAACAATCCTAGGAGATAAGTGCTATTATTATCATTCCCATTTTACAAATGATGAAACTGAGGCAAACAGAGGTTAAGTGACTTGCCTGTGATTATAGAATTAGTAAGTGTCTTGAGTGAGGATTTGAATACAGGTCTTTCTAAATAGAAACCCAGCACCTTATCCATTATACCACCTACCTGCCTGTGCTATGTATAATACCTACTTATGTTTATACCTTATTCCTCTACTAGCTTATACGCTCCTTGAAGGCAAGAACTATGTCTCTTCTAAAGAACTATATCTTGCTCCCAGCACCTGTGACACTATAAGAATAAATGCATGATGTGTGTGCATGTGTGTGTGTGTGAGTGAGTGTATGTGTTTTGAAATGGCCAATGTAGGAATTTGCTTTGTTTGACTCAGCATATTTATTACCTGGGTATTTTTTTTATTCTTTTTCAAAGGCAGCATGGAGCAGGGATGGAGAGAGAAAATAGAATTTTGATCATTTTTAAAATAAAATTTAATTTTAAAAAATGCACATTGCACTTATATAATTCCTAGTCTAGTTGAAGACAATAAAGCCAACACATAAACCAAGGGTGAGCATGTTGTATATGTTAGAGCAGAAAGACCTTGCATAAGGTCACCAGAACCAAAGTTCTGGACACCCTGACTACAATGAGTTTTGTTTTTTATTTTTAAATACAAAACCAAGGGTCTGGAACTTCAGCTAGACTTAGAAAGCCCCACTAGGCCAATCAATTCATTTTCTTCTTTGTTTCATTCATTCATTCATTCAAAAGCATTCATGAAACACTTACTAGGGACCAGGCACTGAGAATAGGAGACAAACATCAAACCATATCTGCCTTCAAGGAGTTTACATTCTATTGGGGGCAGGGATGTTGAGGGGAGGGACAGAAGGCAACTCACATACACAGATAAATCAAGTAACTCTTAAGTCATTTGAGGGGAGGCTAAATGAGGGCATCAGGAAAGACTTTGTGTAGGAGGTAGCATATGAACTTAGCTTTAAAGGAAACTAGAGGTTCCAAAAAGGCAGAAAGGTGTGGAGAACAGCCCAGTAAAAGCAAGGTGGGGAATGAAATGTCCCATACAAGGAACGGCTAGCCGGCCAATTTGGTGGGAATGGAGAATTCGTGAAGGAGTCATGTGAGGAAACCTGGAAAGGTAAGTCCGAGCCAGATTGTGAAGGGTTTTAAATGCCAAACAGGAATTTGTATTTTAGCCTGGAGGCTACAAGGGAAAAACTGAAGCCTCTTCTAGAGCAGGGGACCCACTTGTTTGTCTGTTAATTTGTTTGGTTCCATTTTGCTAACTGGTAAGGGTTTCATGTAACATTTGGTTTCTCATTTTGTGCTCATCTTTCATTATTGGTCTTTGTTGATGGTCGATAATGCTTATAATAAAAAATGTAAAAATGAAGGAAATAGATCTCCAATCTCATGGCAGAGAGATGGGAGACTACTGGATAGAATATTGTATACATTGTTAGTTGTATGCAGCGAGGTGGCATGGTGGATAGAACACTCAGATAAAAGTCAGGAAGAACTGCATTCAAATCCTGATCAGACACTCACTGGCTGCGTAACCCTGGACAACCTAACCTCTCTGTGCCTATTTTCTCATCTATACAATGGAGATAATAATAACACCTACCTCACAGGGATGAACAAATGAGTTAATATATGCAAAGTGCTTTACAAACCTTAAAGCACTATATGAATGCTAGCTATTACTATTATTAGATGGTTACTGATGGCTATTATTAGGTGGTTACTATGTCTAATGATTTTGGTTGTTTTTTTTTCTTTGTCAAAAGGAAGAATTTAGTTTGGAAGGGTAGTTGAAATGACTTTAACATAAAGACAAAATGGCATCCATAAAGGTATTTTTAAATATAAAAATGATGCAAATGGGTAATCCCATGAACAATCTCCATGTTCCATTAATACTTGGGGCTCAGAGAGAACCTGGATCACTGGGGGCAGTAGAATTGACAGAATGGGGAAGGGGGCAATATGTGGGCTGGGAGATGGAAAGGTTAAGAGGCTATTGTAAGAATTCAGGTTTGGGAAGATGAGTTGGAAGCAGGTATGAAAAGAAAGGAGGGGATGGAATTGAAAAGATGTTGAAAAAATGACAGAACTTGGGAACAGCTTGGAACACAGAGAAAGAAAAATAAAATAATGTCTGAAGCTTTGAGGCTAGAATGGTGCCTGGTAGTATCACTGACAAAAATGGTCTCATTGGAAGAGGTTGATACTGGGCATTGGGGTGGGGAAGAATTCATTTTTAGATGTTTGCAATGTGAGGGGCCAATGGAATATCAAGGTGGAAATGCCTAGTAGGCAGTTTGGAATCTGGGACAAGAACCTGAGAGAAGATAGAGTTGGAGGTGAAGCTTTGGTAGTCACCCACACAGGGGTGATAGTTGAAGGTGTGGGAGGAGGTGAGATCACCAAAGGTATGAAAGAATAGAGAATGGCAGAGGGCTAAGGCCAGGGCCTTGAGGGATACCCACAGAGCCGACAAGGAGGCGCTAGCAGATAGGAATTGAAATAAGGGCAATGCATTGTCACCTAAGCCAAGTCTTAAGAAGGAGGGAGTGGTTAAAACTAATAAAAATCATTCCCAACAAACCTGTGAGGTAGGTGGCAAAGGTATGGTTCTCCTTTCTCACAGAATGGATAACTCATGCCTGGCGTCAGAGCCAGGAAACTCAAACCTAGGCTTTCTGGATGCAGAGACCAGGGCTCCTTCCCCCTACACATACTGGGGGACAGTTGGAAATACTGTGAGAAGGTCAAGAAGAATGATCACTGGATTTGACAGCTGAGGGGTCATTGGCACCCTTTTAAAAGAGCATTCAGTTGAGTTGTAGAGGCAGAAACCAGATTTCAGGGGACCAGAGGAGAAGTGAGGAAATGTAGGCCATGTGTTCAAAGGGCTTGGCAGTAAAAAGTAATATGTCTTTTTACCTGCTGCCCACACACTTATCTCCCATTTTCATATGCCCACACCCACTCTCCCAGGTTTCCCTCCTCCCTCCAAAATCAAACACTAGTGGTCAGAAAGAGGTTTAGCTTTCAGATGATTTAATAACATTAACAAATAAATATTCCAAACTGAATCAGCTACAGGGATATGGGGAAGGAAGGGAATGCAGTGGGATAGAGGGAGAGGCCTTAGGGATAAAGCAGAGACCATGGGTTTCTGTCTGGTGTTGATGGGGAGCGCTCTCTTGCTCTCTCTCTCTCTCTCCCTCTTAGGATCTCTCAGAAATGGAGAGGATCTCTCCTGGGCAAAGTCTCTTGATCAGAGACAGAGGGAGGGAAGTAAAATCCCTGGCCAGGGTGGTCAGGGATTCATTTAGGATGGGTTAGGTGAAATAGGAAGGGGTAGAGGAAGCAGAGGTGGACTCTAGAAAGTGCCCAGGATGCTGGCTTCCAGATATAACAAGGGACAGGGCAGGGCAGGGGAGTGGGTCAGAGAACTAACTGGGTAGAGTTGGGAGGAAAGCATGAGAAGGTAAACAAAAAACTCTGAAGTTGAGTGGTTATTGGGAGGCCATGGAGCAGGAGAGATGCGGAAGATGTAGGGGACCCTCGCAGGACATCCCTTCAGCACTCATTCCCTGACGTAGACCCTGGTGCACACCACGTCATCTGCTGTCATGGTCTGAAAGGACAGAAACTATTGGTCTAGGAGGGGGGACTGAGGCAGTCCTCCAGAAGGATAGGGGTAGGGTGAAGCCTGGCTCTTCCTGCCTCTGTTCCCCCTTTAGGGACTGGCAGAGGAAGCCTGCTAGAGTCAGTGGTGGAAAGGGGCATGATTTTTCTTAGCCTCCCCAGTGTCAGTCCTTGTGGGAAGAGAAGGCAAAGACAACACTCCTCCCCAGTACAGATCACAAAGAGGTCTTCCCTTCTTCCCTCCTATCCTTCTAGTCCTGGCTCCTTATTCACCAAGGTCTCCTTGACTTCAGAAACCCTCCCACATAAAATGGAGCCAGGCCATCTCCTATCCCCCAGTTTTGCCCAGGTGTTAGCTTTCAGAGAATTGGGATATTTGAACATAGACTAAGGTAGAGAAAGAAATCTAATGTTAGCCCTGGGGTCTCCTGTTCTGTGTCTCCCTTCATCCCCATATCTAGTCATCATTCTCAATATTGTAGGGGTGGTAGAGCTTAGGGTTAGGGTTAGGCTGGGGGGGGTAGGCAGACACAAATGAATCCTTATTCCATCCACCTACACAGGACACTCATTAGAATCAAGCCTGAGCAAGGGGCTGGGAGACCTTTGCTCTTGCACAAGAGGAGATGGGGGGAAAGGGCTTACCAGGATCAGTTCTCCGTCATTGGTCAGCTCCCGGGACCAAGAGGTCTTGGGTCCCTCCCCTTTCAGGAGTCTCTGTTCACAGACCATCTTGTTCTGATTTTCCCACTTCACCAGGCTCTGAGGTGAGAAGGAAGAATAAGTCTATGCAATGGGGTGGGGTCAGCCAGAGGCAGAGTCCCCATTAGCCCTCAGGGCAAGAACCATGGGCCATGCCCAGGGCAAGCAGCTCTAAAGAGGCTCTCATGTGACATAGCAGGGCAGCTAATGGTTGTCACCAGAGAGAGATGGCTGGGTGGGGAGAAGTTCAGAAGGCACTCCCCTGTGTTGGGCCTGTCAAGCCTTCCCAGAATGAAGCTTCTTATTTTTAACTAAATATTCTTGCTAGCTAATTGCTAAGTTTAGTTGTCTCTAACCCATTTTAATGAGCTTAGGCATTCCTGATGGCCTCTAAGTTTTGGGGTGAAGGCCTAATTGCCCCACCCTCATCATGGCTTCAGTAAAAGGGATGGATGCAATATCACAAGAAGACATAGAGGAAGAATGAGACTCTGAATCAGCACAATTTAGCTGAAGGTTTGGAAGCCAGATCACAGAATGGACTTTTTCAGTGGAATGAAGAAGCCTTCTAGACCAGAAAAAGGGTAAAATGAGGCAGAAAGGTATGCTCCAAAGGGTTAGTCAGGATGTTATCCAGGGCCTCTAGGCCACATGTGGCCTTCTAGGTCCTCTGGTGTGGCCTTTTGACTGAGTCCAGGTTTTGCAGAATAAATCCTTTTATGAAAGGGATTTGTTTTGTGAAGTTTGGATTCAGTCACAGTGCCACACTTGAGGACCTAGAGGGCCACATGTGGCCTTGAGGCCACAGGTTCCCCACCCCTATTATAGCCTATTCCAGCCATTTCCCTCTCCCTTCCCTTACCCCATAAAGAACACTAACCTTACAGGGCCTCCCGTCCACTGTCTGCTCCTCAAATTCTTCCCCGATTTTGAAGTTAATCTCAGTGGTCCTCACAGTGGTAAAAGTTTTGATGTAGAAACTCTCACCATCCTGTTTAATCTCCACTGCTGGCTTTGAGGCAGCTGCCACAGCAATCTTCCTTAGCATCACATTCACTCCTGCCGTGGGATGGAGAAGTTGTAATTTCCTGCCCATGGATGCAAGAATCCCTCCCTGTGGTAGGGTACCACTGGGGAAGACACCCCCCACTCCTCAGGGACTCCAGCCTAAGCACCACCTGCAGCAGGGCCTCTGGACAGCTGGTACCTGCCTATGGTTCCTCTCCTTTGCCACTCCTCCCCTAGTCCCACCCCTGAAGATGTGGAAGAGCCCTAAACTTGGAGTCAGAAGACTTGGAGCACAGAAGAGATGCTTGGTGTTTGTTAAATTGAAATGACAGCTATCTTCAAATATTCACAGGCTTGAAATGTGGTTAAGAGATTAAACTTGGTTCAATTTGGCTCCAGAGAACAGACACAGTTGGCGTTTGTCCTTCATTCTAGAAGAGGACTATGACATCAGCAAGGGTGATGCCATGACTTGCAAGTGGATTGGATTTGAGCAAGGCAGGGCTGTGCAAAGTCACCAGCCTCACTTTCTCCTCCGGACCCATCTGGGTCCAGTGGCCAGATATAGATCAGGATGACTGGAGATGGCCCCTGGACAGACATAATATGATATGGTAGAAAGAGCACTGAATCTGAAGATAGATTTGAAAGTAGTTCAAATCCCAGCTGTACCACTTGCTCCCTTTGTGACTTAGAACAAGTCCCTTCTCTCTGAATCTTTTTTTCCTCATCTGTAAAATGAAGAGGCTTGACCAGACAATCTCTAAGGTCCCCTAGGGGATCAAATTTCATGATCCTCCAAAGTAGTACCAAAGGGCAAAGGTTATAGGATAACAGGTTGTAACACAATTTAAGTAAAAATGTATTAATAAATAGAACTATCCAAAAGTGGGATTGGGCCACAGGATCCTCTTCATTTTAAGTAGAGGCCAGGTGGCTGCTCACGGGGGATATTGCAGAGAGGATCCATGACTTGGGTACAGGTTGGAGGAGATGATCTCTAACATTGAGTGTCTCTGTTCCCTTTCTCAATAAAGCATTTGTTGAACGCCTATAATATGCCAGGTCCTATGAGGAATAACAATAATAGCATTGATGATATATATAGTAATAGCTAGCACTTCAAAGTTTATAAAGCACTGTACATAGAATATCTCCTTTGAACCTGGAAACAACTCCCAGAAGTAGGTGCTACTATTATCTCCATTTTATAAATAGAGAAACTGAGGCAAACTGGTTTGGTGAGTTGCTGAGGGTCACATAGCTAGTACTTGTGTGAGACAGGATTTGAACTCAGACTTTCTAGACTCTAACTCCAGCACTCTACTAGAAGTTCTGTCCTCAAGGAATTTACCATTTGGGAAATAATTCCTATCTATTTTGATGTAACATTCCTAAGTGCCTGATAAATACTTCACTGTATTGGGAAAAGAACCCTAGGGGTAGGTAGGTTGTGCAGTAAATAGAGCACCAGCCCTGGAGTCAGGAGCACCTGAGTTCAAATCCGGCTTCAGATACTTAATAGCTGTGTGACCCTGAGTAAGTCACTGGACCCTCATTGCCCCTTTAAAAAAAAAAAGAAAAGAAAAAAAGAATCCTGGTTCTGTCAATTAACTATTGTGTCAAGTTGGGCTAGAATCAGCTATGAGAGCTAATTGTTAAAATTTCAGTGGGGCCTTTATAGTTCAGAATCAGCAAATGCTACAAATGAGGGTTTGATTTAATGGGGTTTTTTTAATTGTCTAGACTTAAGCAAGTGATGGAGAAAATGTTACTAATGCAGACTAAACTTAACAGTATGTTGCATGTACATTTTCCCCCCTCAGGAGAGCCTGTTGTTAAATATTTACCAGCATGACCCTGCCTCTGGGCTTCAGTTTACTCTTCTGAAAATGAAGAAGTTAGTAGGATTAGTATTCAAGGTATCTGGCTTAGCTGACCTGATAATCCCATGTATTTCTTGTGTAATGGGGGTGGTCAAGGGAGCCCCTCATTGCTAGATGACCTCGGTAGGCCCATTCCCATTCAAGCTCCATGGAGTGGCCTCAGCAGATTAGGAGGGGAAAGAGGAGGGCTGTCCCATGACTACATATAAATCTGCCTTCTACAAAAGGATGAAATGAGCATTTCATTAGCTTTCTAAAACTGGCATTGAATTGGTATTTACTAAACAGGGTGTTCCTAGTGATCTGATTTCATTGGTAGCAATAAAAGAGATGCTGTGCCTTAAAAAAACAAATATGAGAGAATTGGACTAGGTGATCTCTTAGTAGCTATGCTTCCCACAATGGTACCATGGTGGGGAGGGGAGGTTAAGGAAGGCTTTTTGAGAAGACAGGATTTGAGAAGATAGGCCTTGAAGGATGGGAGGCTGAGAGGAGGGACACTGTCTCTGATATTTTTCTCCTCTAGGTTTTGAGGTGTTTTAAGGCACCTGGGTCACCTGTACCTCTGGGTCCAAGGCTCTATGGGAACTGTCTTGAACAACCTCTCTCTGTCTCTGTGGCTTTGCTAGGAGTGAATCAGGGCCGGCTTCTAGCAGGGAGCAGCAGTTTCCCCTCCCTTCACACCCTAGCATTTCCTGGGGGCCACCCCTGCTAGTCACTCCTATGGCCTCCAAGGGCCTGTCCTCTCCACTCACCATACATGGTGATGTCTTGGATTCTCTAGAACCTTTTTCCAGCATGGGTTCCTGACTCTCAGTCCCTTGAACCTTACCTAACTCTAATCTTCTGTTCCACCTTTTCCCTTTGTCTGCCCTGTTTGTCCCTTGTGGCCTTTGGATTCTCTCATCAGAATAAGTTAGCTATTGTCCTGCCCTTTCCCCAAACATGCCTGAAAAGGGGTACGCATTAGAGGGCTAATTTTTCCTAAATCTCCCCCAGAAGGAAGTTTCTCTGCCTGTCTCCCATTTGGTATAGGAAAGTCCTTCCTGCTATCTGGCCTCTAGATCTGGGTTTCTTAACCTGGGGTCCATGAATCTGTTTTTATTGATAACTGTATTTCAATAGAATTGGTTTCCTTTGTAACTCTTTGTTTTATTTTGTGCATGAAAATTTATTCTGAGAAGGGATCCATAGACTTCATCAGACTGCCACAGGGATCCGGGACCAAAAAATAAAAAGTTTAAGAACCTTGAACTCTAGATTCTGGCATTGGGCAAAAGTCAAGTCATAGCGGGGAACAATTCAAGTGGTGAGGGGTATGGGAGAATAAAAGGCCATAGAGAGGAAAGGGAATGTTTGAGTCCTTTTGAAGAAGAAGGAACTGATATTTCTATAGTTCTTAAGGTCTACAAAGTGCATTTCTAAAAAAAAAAAGCCCCATTTTGCAGATCGGGAAACTGAGGCACAAGGATCTGTCTTCTTGATAGGTAAAGAAATGAAAACTCACCTAGCCCACTATACCTACCCAGCCCCAGGACAGACTACCCTTCATATGCCATCTAGTCTATTACCCTAGCCTTCTTGAAATCATTCTTGTCCCCAAGCTCATACCACCCCCACAGCCCACAATCACCTCCCACTTTCCACTTTTTCCTTTGAGCACAGTCATCAATACTGCCATAGCTTCTGGAAAGTACATATCAGTTGAAACCAAATTTCCTTCCCTAAATGTAGTCTTCCCCCCAATTAGAATGTGACCTCCAGGAGGGAGGGACTGGCTCATTTATTTTTTTTTGTAGTTGTATTCCTGGCCCTTAGAACAGAGCCTGGAACATAGAAGGACTTGGTAAGTGCTTTTCATTCCTTTCACGGTTTGGTGACTTAAGTGTCCATGGGCACTCACAGTGAGGAAGGTATCAGAGCTCAGAGACAAACCCAAAAGAGCTTTGGGGGCCAGGAGGCTCGAGCCTGGACCCAGAGCCGGGTACCTGGCCAGAGTCCTGCCCAAGCATAGAACCACCCATGATCCACAACGAAGGACTTGGGAATTTTGGGAGACTGACCCAGGCACCAGGCCCTGATGTCACTTCCGCCAACCAGAAATTCCCACCTGTTCCCTGCTTCTGGGAAGACAAGGAAAGAAGATCACATTTCTACATTGCTTTAAGACTCATAAAGTACTTTCCTCACAGCAACCCAGAGAGGTAACAACAGCTCGAATTTATATCACATTTTAAGGTTTGCAAAAGCACTTTACATGTTATCTCATTTGCTGAGGTAGGTAGCACAAACATTAAATCCCATTTGACAGATGAGGAAATTGAGAGAGAGGGGCAGTGATATCAAGCCAGAGCTGGGGCATGAGCCCAGGTCTCCTAACACTTCTTCAGCCCCCATGACACCCTCCTTCCTTTAGTCCTTTATTCTAGGCATTTCCCAGTTCTCTTAGACATATGCACCATGAAGCTACCTCATTCTCCCTCTCTGATCCCTCCCCAGCCCCATTCCAGTTAACTTGACGTAGTAGAGATTTGAAATCAGAAGACATGGATTTGAATCCTGTCTCTGCTACTTATTACTTCTGTGACCTTGGGTAAGCCCCTACTTCTCTGCGTTTCAGGTTCCTTAACTGTAAAATGAAGGAATTGGACTAGATGACCTCTAAGGCCCCATTCCTCCCTAAATCCGATAATCCTTTAAGAGACAGACCCCAGTGAGGCCTCTGGAAAATCTTCTGAGTCGAAGAGGCTGTCCCTCCCCTTCATTCCGACTTCTATCACTCTGGGCCCTGCCTCCTGCTCCAGGACTCTTTGTTCTCTCCTCCAACTTTTATTGGGGGGTGGGAATGCAAAGAGGAGCAAAATGAAGGGAAGGAAGTGATGAAGCCCAAGGTGTGATTCCGAGTCTTGAAACATAGCACCCAAGTCCTGCCCATTCCCTTCTTCCCTCCCGGCCCTGCAGGAAGGCAGCAGGTGGGGGAGAGCTCGGAGGTAAGGGCAGCGGAATTCCCTCCCCACCTCCAGACTCCACCAAGTCTTGGCCTGCCTCCAGCCTTGTGTTTCCATTAAGGAGGAACACAAACGCTTCTCTCCCCCAGGGCAGGACCCCTTGGTCCTGGGAAGGGAGAAGAGCTGAGGACTTCTTGAGGAGGATCCAGATTTCTCCTTCTAGGAAGCCCAGAGGAGAAGCTCTCTTTCTCCAGCTATCCCTTGGTACCCTGACTCCAAAGCTAAAGACAGATGGTACACTGGTATTCTTTATCCTTGAGATCTCAAAGCACGTATCTCCACTGAGGGGAAGGGAAGAGTTGGAGATGGAAAACCAGACTACCTTGAAGAGAAAACAGGATTGGAAAGGGTAAAATAACCAGGCCTCCTGTTTTACTTACCTCTAGCCCATCAACAGAGAAGGGAATTACTTATGTAGCAGGACTTGGGGAAGAGGAGTAAAACACAGGTATCCCAGACCTGGACACCAGGTAGAGAGAGATGCCAGAACAGGAGAATAAGATGAAGGGTAATAAGTCTATAAGCTCAACCCACATGGGGCTTTAAGGTTACAAAACACATTCATAACCATTATCTAATTTTACTCTGGTAATCACTCTCCAAGATAGGCAGTGCAAGTATTACTATCTTCATGTTATAATAATAATAGCTAGCAGTGATATAGCACTTTTTTTTGTCTTCACAACAACCTGGAACGTAGGTACTATTATAATACACATTTTACAGATGAGGCAATTGAGGCAGAGAGCAGTTAAGTGATTTGCTAAGAGTCATACAGCTAAGAAATGTCTGAGGCCAAATTTGGACTCAGGTCTTTCTGACTCCAGGCCTGGCATTCTATCCATTGTGTCTCCCAGAGGAAACTGAGGCTCTTTAGGGACAGGCCATATAACTAGTAAGTGGCAGATAAGAGCCTGGGGTCTACTATACACTGCACTAAAGGTTAAGCCATCCCAGATGGACTTCCCAGGGTAGAGGTGGGAAGGGAGTGGGTTGGTGTCTGGGGTTTGTCCTGTTACTCAGGAAAACTTAGAAAAGATTCTATCCTTATCCTTGCCCTTCCCCTCCTCCCACTGGAGCAAAGCAGGGAGAGGGTTCTGATGATTTCAGCTGACTTTGGCAGTGTGTGTTTGTCTAATGGGTCTGTTTTCAATCTGTCTCCAGCAGGTTCTGGAGAGGACACGTGGCTCTGAGAGGACCCTGCAGAGAGGACAAACAGAATGGAGACAGACAGACAACAAGGTCAGGTCTCAGATCTCTTTTTCCAGCTGGGGCTGGGAGAACCAGAGCTCTTGCCTCATTCCCTCTTAGAGTAGGTTTATCTGGACAGAGCTCAGAGAAGACAAAGGTGAGGGGATGGGGGCAGGAAGGGCAGAAATGTTCCCAGTCTCTGAAGGGGGAATTCTCCAGCGATCTGCCTGGGCTCCATTCCATGGAGGGTAGAAAAGAGGGATGCAGGTTAGACTTCGAGAAACTTCCAGTCAGCAGTAAGATACTGGGATGACCAAGTCTCCAAACTACCTGGCCCTTAGTTTCCTCATCAGTAAAATGGGGGGGTAGAGTTGTATAGTTGCTAAGGTCCCATACAGCTCCATTTTGCAACTCTATGACATTCTAACCTTGATTTAGAATCCTTCATAGGGTCCTAAGTCATACTATCTGTCCCTTCCCTTATACGGCAACCCCTGCTCAGTCCCCAAAGTCTTCTCTCTCCTCTCAAGAAGGACTATAGCAGCACTATTTGCCCCTTCTTACTGTTCTGTTCTGTCTCCAGCCTTAGTCCCTCCTGTTATCTAACTTCTATCCCTTTCTCACAACAGAATCAGTTACTCCTTCTGCTCTATTATTTCTCTTCAGGGTCCTGGGCCTTAAAGACATCATCTTCCTTCCCCTTGAACTAAATTGCTATGAAACCTAGGGCAAGTCTCCTCACCTGTGTGAGCCTCAGTTTCATCATCTGTAAAGTAGAGGTGTGGGGAGAGAAGCTAAACTAGATGATCTCTCTAAGGTCCCATGCAATTCTGACAATAGGTAGCCTCTGGATCTCTGAACCCTGTGTACCAGATTCCTGTTTTAAATCCTCTAATGCATCCTCCCGGAGTCAGAGTGAGAACAATTGAAATTAGAGCTAGAGGGAGGGTCTGAAATGAAGGAAGGCTATAATACCTAGGTGGTCCCTCAGGCTTTCCATATCTTTAGCAGGTGAGCCCTGCCTAACCAGCAAGGGGGGAGGGGGGAAAGTGGAGAGTGGGAAGAAAGAAGGGAGCTGGGGTTTGTGGGGAGGGGAGTGGAGAGAGAATTGGGCTTCATGCAAAGCCATTTGATGAAACCTAAGAAAGTGATAATTATCCTGAACTATTTTCCTAGGATCCAGAAGCTGCTGGTGGAAAATATTCGTCTCACAGAATGGGGGTAGGGAGGTAGGAATAGAGCAGGAGAGAGGAAAGGCAGGATGGCTAAGGATAGAGGTATGAAGAAGGGAGTCTGGAATGGGCACAGGATGAAGTTCCTGAAGAGAACTGGAAATCGGGGAGGTGAGATGGCTCAGTCCTAGGTAGGAAAGGGGACCCCAAGCTGGGTCAAGCATAATTTTAATTGGATGGAGGAAGGGACGAGGGAGAGCTGGGAGCCACCCACACCCTCCCTGAGAATCTCTTAGGGATTGGATTACTATTCATCAGAGGGAAAAGGCTGGGATCCATATAAAAGAATATAAAAGGGACTGGTGCCAGCCAGACCCAGGCACCTAGTTCCATGAGGTATTTTCCCAGGTATGACATCTGGAGATGCAGTAGCCAGTCAAGCCTCAGCTGGCAACCTTACCAAGTTGAGACCCCATAAGGAAGCCTACCTGCCCCCATCTCTATCCCACTCATCCAAAACAAGAAATTAATTTCACCCTTTCCAGGGTTTTGAGTCATTGGGGGTGGGGGACTGATCGGATGACTCCCAGGAAACTTGGTAGAATTCAGGTGTCTGGCCCCTCACAGTTTCTCCCCCTGGGAGAATCCAGGTGTCTATCATTCTTTCCTCCTCTAGGGACTCGTATATCAGGCATACACCACAGTCTAGAGGGGAGGAACTGAGGCATCTCCCACCCCATCTCCCAAGATTTCAACAATTTCCAAACCTCACCCTCACTCGGGGCAGGGGGGACTGGCGGGAAATGAACCAGGCATCAAACATCTCCCCTCACCCATCCATCCCAGTCACTTGGCCCCTTCCCGGGGGTCTAGGTGTCTGGCACCTCCCCTCTCCCCAGGGACCCATTCTTATTCTGACCACCCCGGGCTAATCCCAGAGCCTTTCTCACCCAACGCCTTGAGCAAGTCCTCAAAGTTTTCTGAACGGATGATCTTCCAGTTCCCGGAGAAGTTGGACATCTTGGCAGAAAGTGGGTAAACTTTCCCCTGGAAATGGGGCTTGGAGTACTGGAAGCTCCGAGAACCACCTCCTCCTCCTTCCCACCGCAGGATCTCTAAGCACCACGAGCACAGGAGACAATCACGGCGAAACCCCAAAGCCGGGAAAGGGATCCGGCTTGGGCTCCTTTTATAAGGACCACTGGTCCCGCCCCTGCTCCTCGGCCTCCTCCCTCCGCCCCGCCCCACCCCATCTTCTCTCCACCTGGCGGGGCCCGGCTCCCCTTAGCTAGCAGCCGAGACTTGGAGATGCCAACTCCAATCCCCATCCCCAGAGATCCGGGCTGATGCTTTACCCCCTCCCCCCAACATGCATCCCTTCCTCTTCTGTAACCTGGGTCCAGGCCGTGGAGGGAGAGGGAGAGGAGGTTCTGAACTCCTTTGAGGGTTTCAGGGAAAAATTTGGAAGGGATGCCTGTGTTCTCTTTTTCGGTGAACGGGACTAGACAAGGAGGACACACTTGGTGGGCACAGGGAAATCTCGGAAGCCGATGGTGGGGAGGGGGGCCAGAATTGGAAAGCCGAATTCCTGGACCCCTCATGCCCCAGTTTTCCTTTGTCCACTTCCTATCCAGGGTTCCACCTCGGGAGTCTACCACTCTCCACCCCTACCACTCTCCACCCCTTCCTCTCTCCACACACTCCCCACCCTCTTTCAGTCCGCACTTCAGCCAAATCCTCCAGGTAAGCCTCGGCTCTCTGAGTCTGGTAGATTTCCAAGCACTCTAAAGCTGCTGTCCGCGCCTTTTGTAGTGGAGTGGTAAGGACACTGAGGGTAAGGGCTCAGTAGGCCAGACTATCTCTATACCGTAGGGAGAGAGAAAAGGAGCAGACCGGAGGAGCAGAGTAAACTGGATGCTCAAGCACTTTCATTTAAATGTGGTAGATCCAGATATTCTGCTCCTCAGCAGACCACTGGGGAGTCAGATAGAAGGGGAAAAAGGCCAGTCACTGGGTCAAGAAGGTCAGGACAACAGGTGAGGTACTGGCGCCCCCTGCTGGAAGCAATTAGGAAGTGTTGGGGACCTCCAGGGGGTGAGCTAGACACCTGAGTCCCTCCCTCACCCCCCAACCCGGTGGCTAGGGACCCGCGATTCCCTTCTCTCTCTAGCTGTGTACTTAAAAGACATTAAAGGGTTAATAAAGAATCTGAAAGAAGGAGGTTGTGAAGGCCAGAGGTCATATCATAGCCAATCACTTGACACAGTCCTTTTAATAAAGAACTTTTTTTCCTCCTTGGCCTAGGAAGAGAGGGGGCCAGGAGGCGGGAGAGGAAGCGTGGAGAAGGGGGAAAGGGGGAGGGGAGAGCTCTGCTGAAAAACCACATAGGGAGAAGCAAAAGGCTAAAGCACCGGACGCCCGAGTCCCCGTAGAGGAGACTGGGGGGACGGGAGGAAGGCTGCCTGGGTCTCCCCCCAAGGGGAAGTTGGGGATGGGAGGGTGTCTGGATCTCCAGAAGAATGGAGGGTGTCTCAGGGAAGGATGGCCCTGGGCTCCCGGAGGGAGAGACTGATGCTAGGGTTGGATTGCAGGGGGAGGGGTCCTGTGGGGAGGGGCTCAGGTATCACTTTTCTGGGCAGTTATAGCGGCGGAAGAAGTGGGAACCGTTTTGGGAGCAGCTTTGAAGTCTGGAGATCAAAGCAGTTGGGGGTTGGGGGAGACACCCAGTAGTCTCCGAGCAGTAGTCTCAGTCCCTCCGGGCTGTCATGTGAAAGATCCCGACATCCACCCACTGGGAGAGAAGCACTGAGACAGAAGGAAAGATGAAGAGACAGAGAGGGGAGGAGGCAGAGGAGGTGGGCAGGAGGACAGAAAGGAGGAAGAGAAAAAAAGGGAAGGGGGAGAAGAAATGGAGAACAGAGAAAGAGAAGAAGATGGGAAAAGAAAGAAAGACAGGGAGACAAAGAGAGAAAGACAGGAGGGAAGAGAGAAAGACCGGAGTAGAGAGGGAGCGGGAGAGATTTCGGGCTAGTCTCCCTGTAGAGGGCTAGAGGGGGAGAGATAAAGAAGGTGAGAGAGACAGAAAGAAACAGGGAGAGGGAAATGAAGCTGAGAGAAAGCGAGTCTAGGGGAGAGAAACGGAGACAATGCACAGAACAGAGAACGAGAGCCAGAGGGAGAGAAAAGGAAGAACAAAGAGATAGCGAGCTTCGGAGATAGGTGAGCAGAGATAGGCGAGCAGAGATAGGCACACACTGACGCGCGCACGCACACACACACAAACACACACACACACACGCCCCTCCCTACTTCTCTGCCATCTCCCTCACTCCCTCCCTGGCTCATCCAGGCTCTTAGCTGAGGGAGAGGCTGCTGGGCTGAGCAGGCCTCGCCTCGGAAAATCTTGTGCTTGTATCCCCCTCACTCCCGCCCCAACTTCCCCTTCCCCCGGCCCCAGGTCCCCAGTTCCCGCCAGCTCAACTCATTCCAAAGGCTTTCATGGAAAACTCAGTCCGAGTCCCTCCTTCGAGCAATTCTGGCCCCCCACCCCACCCCGCCCCAACCCAGCCAGTAGTGCGGAGGAAGTTGGACTGGGGGATGGTACAGTGTAGGAAACAGGTTTTCCAGATCTCCAAGCACTTAACCACATGAACGAGGGCATGAGTCCCTGGGATTAAAGGGCTACAGGAAAGGCTTCACATGGTGGGATCAACTGAGCAGCAAGGGGGAAGGGATGGGAGTTGGGAGGAACATAGCAGAGAAGAGAAGGCTTTGGAAGGAGGAGGACTCTTGCCAACGTGTCAAGTACAGGAATGTGAAAGGAGCTGGAGAGCAATGGAGAATAGGGCTAGAAGTTTAGGGGAAGTTCTGTTGGTGAATTATTCTTGAGAAAAGAGTGGCAAAAGAAAGGTGATGCTGAGCTGATCCTGCAACAAACGGATGGTGGTTAGACAAAAAGGATTTCTGAGGGGGAGGGGGGCATTATCAACAGATTCATTAAGAGTACAGGCAGAGCCCCAAATACTCGTTTTAGCTGTGACCACAGTTTCTTCCCCTGTAAAATGATAGGATCATAAAATTCCACGATCTTGAGAAAGCTAGAAGTGATAAAGGAAACTCAAAAGGTAGAGTACAAAACTTAGTCCTGACTCCTAGGGCCCTAAAAATCCCCAGAAAAGAGTCAGGTGACCCACATCACAAAGATACATGAAGGGCCAGTGAATTTCAGGCAAAGGATTTAAAGCTAGAAGAGGTGTAGAAATCAAGTCCAAACGCCTCCTTTTACAAGAAAGTCTGAGATGGAAAATGACTAGCCCAAGGTTAAGGAGCACGGCCAGGGATTGAACCCAGTTCCTCTGATCAAGGGATCTTCCCCCTATACTAGATTTCCATCAGAAGGAGCTCTAGATCAGAAGCCAGGAGCCCCAGGCCAGCTACTGGGTTGCTTTGGATAAGTCACTTTCCTTCTCTGGGCCTGCTGGAGTGACTCAGAGTCAGAAGGACCTGGGTTTGAATACTAGCTGTGCACTTCACCTTCTTCTAACAAAAGATGGAGGATGCTTCCTATTCTTCCTGGAAATGTCCCAGCCTGCGTTGCAGTCCTGAAGTACCTCTTCCCCAGACCCTGTCCCCTCTTTGTGTCTTTTCAGTCCCTGCAGCTCTCCCGTAAGTTCCCCATGTCCCTTTTGAGTGCCCCCATGGCCCCTTGTTCCTCTTCCCCAGCCCTTTTCCTTCTCACCCAGTTCCAGTCCCCTCCATTCTTCCCCAGTGTCCCTCAACTCCTGTCCTTCTTCCCCAATCTTTCCCCTTTCCCCCAGTGTTCCCACAGCTCCCTTCTTTCTTAACCCCCTTCCAGTTCTCTTCTTTCTTTTTTGATGTATCTCCAGTTCCCTCCCCTCTCCTCTGGCAAATACCCACCTCACTCATGTCTGGCTAGCTCAGTTAGGGGAATATGGGAAAAGCTTACATGGGTTTTCCCTACCTTTCCCAAAGAACTGACCATCTAGCTAACTGGGGGTGGGGGTGGGGGTAGCTCTTGAGTCACAGTACTCTCCGAGAATGCCCCCCACTCTGCTCTAAGCCCAACCCACCCTAAAATCCATTCTGGACAGAATAGGAGAAAACAGTCTGATACTACAATAGGAGAGATGGGGGGAGGGTGACTCTTCTTTTCAGAGACAACCCCCACCTTTCTCTGCTCCAGCCCCACCATACCCTCCCCAGCTTAGGGAGGGGTAATCTGGCTAGGAGGCAAGGGGCAACACAACCTGGGGCTAGGCGGACAGGAAGAGTTAGACTCCCCAAATCCCGCCTCTGCCCAGCCAGGCCCAGATTTCCAAAAGAGACAGGAGTAAGACAAAGGAAAGTCAGGCTGGGAGGGGAATTCTTTCCAGATGTGAGAGTCTGCGGTTTGGCCGCTCCAGGGCCTAATCTTCTGCATAGAGGAGGCCGTTCTGCCTGCTGGGAGGGGATCCGACCAGACAGAGCAGGGTCAGGAGGTGGGAAAGCCAGGACCTATTCCTTCACCCTTTCCACCCTCTCCCCTTCCTGGTGGGGTGGGGAGTGGAGTGGGGAAGGGGAAGTACCCTAGGGAAAGGGATTAGGGACAGAGAGACTCTGGGGGAGAAGGGCAAGAGATTAGGGGAACTGGAGGAGAGAGGAAGGGAATGAGGGACTCTGAAGATAAGGGTGGGAAGGAAAATTGGGGAAAATTGAGAGAGAGGCACAGGAGCTGGAGGACACAGAGGAGAAGGGAAAAAGGTTGGGAAACAGAGGAGGAGCTAGGAGGCACTGAAAAGTGAAGCAGAAGGCTGGGGGCACTAGGAGAGAACAAAGGGACTAGAGTGAACTTGGAAAAGGGTGGAAGGCTGGGGGATGTTCAAGGAAAGGGACAGAGGCTGAAAGACACTGCAGGGGAGAAGGGAAGGGGCTAGGGTAAATTAGAAAAGAGAGATGGGGTTGGAGGACACTGATGGAGAGCAGCAGGGTCTAAAAGATTCTGAGAAAAGGGGTAGATGGAAATGACAATGAAGAGAGGGTAAGACACTGAAAAGGTCACTAGGGGAGAGGAAAGAGACTGGAGGGTTGAGGCAAGGGTTGAGGGAGAGAGGCAGGAGCTAGAAGAACCAAGGGAGAAGGGCTGTGGCTAGGAAACTCTGAGGAGAAGATAAGAAA